TCCAGGTCTGTACCTGCTCTCCAAGCCTCCTCTCAGTCAGCACTAGAAAAATGCACAGAAAAAACCTAGGCCTTTCCAAAATCACAACCATAAAACCCAGTTGTTTTTTTTTTTTTTTCTCCTTCCTGTTCTTTAAAACAACGTTTCAAATCCAGGCCAGGCCCTAGACTCCATGTAACGGGTCAAGTGCAGGGTGAAATGTGCAACCAGGGAAAGGAAGTGACCCCAGTGCCTCACTGTCTCAAAGTCCTGCTGTGTTCATCCTCCCAATCCCACCTGCTCCTTCAACAACAAATTTGAAGACAATTATAAACCAGCATTTTCTTCCTCGTTCGGAGCCAAGATTTATGCAGGAAATTCTCTCCAGTTTATCCTTTGCCAGCACAGAAGAGCCACATGATTATTGGCCACAACTAGTCCAAGCCTCCCAGGACAGCCAAGACCTCTGCCACTGCCATATGCTTAATTAGTGCTGGGTGGGAGAAGTGATGAAAGGCCTTGCTGCACCCTGCATGGGAGGAAGCGTTTCACTTTAAGAATTCTCACTCACACCGTCAGCCATTACTTCAGCCTGCTCTGACAGCTGCTGGTCTTGGGCAGGGAGGGATGTGCCTGCATTAGCCGTGCCAGGCAGCAACTCAGAATGGCCTCTCCACTGTTCCAGCAGCACCCCGGGGTGGTCCCCAACATATCTCTGGCTAAGAAGGTGCAGATTATTGCTGCCTAGAGTTGAACATTTCAAGAATTTGGAGGTTAGATTGTAAACTCAGGAAAACAGGATGTACTTGAACAGTGTCTTGGACAATGAAGGAGCCTGGTCCAAGAGGACTCATGGGTATTCCTGGAAAACACGCCATGGAGATCAGATTCACTCTACTCCTGTTACCTGCTTGTCTGGCTTTCACCTGCAGCTCCCTGCCCAGGGCAGGGGTGTGTGCAGCACCTCACACAGCACAGCCCTGCCCTGGGCAGCTGCATCCCACAGCAAAGTGAGAACCAAACACTCCAGCACTCTGAGGGGAACGCTGGGAGAGGGGGAATTTGCTAGAGCTACCTCTGCCTCACTGCTGCGTCACTTGAGAGGAGAGCGTGTCACCGCTCAGAGCCATGCCCAAGTCCTCCCTTGCACCATGAGCTATTTGCAGGCAGGTTTTAGCCTTGTTCCTCGGGGCTGCAGCCATTTGGAAAGCCAGGCATGCAAGCAAACAGGCTTGGTACTGGCAAGAGCAAGTGTCACTTGCCCAGCCTGATCTGCTCCTCCACTCTGATCATGAGCAAGCACCAGCGCTTGGACCGTGGTTGGAGCACACTCCTTATGCTCTGTGCAGCCTGGGCATCCCACAGCACATCTGACAGGCAAAACAAGTAAGGAAACATAAAACTGCCTCTTTAATTTTGAGCAGTACAACACTGCCAAATTCACGAGAGGTGAACATTGGCTTCATCATTTCTTTCTTCCCTCTATCTCACAGCCAATTCTGCTTTTCTCCTCCACCTTCCCCAACACCCATATTTCTTATACTTCCAGTACTTCATGTGCTGGGAAATGCTCAGCACTCTTAAAACCAGCTCCCTCTCCTGCAAAACAGAGGAATTGTAATAAGTGAGTGTAAATTAGCAGGCTTGGCTAGCACCTCAGTGTTTCTGAAGCTTGAAAACAGTAATACATACATAAGTGTTCAGCAAAACAGCTCCACAAAGTCATTCATTGCTGAAAGGCAGAGCACTTGCAAGTCATGCCTTGAAACCACAGCCCTAACACTCCTAGCATCCCAGTAAAACCAACTCAGAGCCTGCCCAAAAATCAGTGGCCAGGAGGTTTGTGTTTGTCCAAGATGAATGATCAAACGACTGGAGAGATGAGAAATTAAAATCAGTGCAGAGACTGTGGCATAACTCATGACACAGCATGTCCATCCACTTGCTATGGAAACTATGTTTGGCAAGTATCAGGTGTCTGAATTTCTGCTTACGTACATCTCCCTGGACAGCAGTATATTAATAACACAGGCAGCCTAAAAACAGAAACTATCACCAAGAAAAGCTGCCCTTCTGCCCAGAGTTCCTTGCTGTAGCCTGGGTATTGTTGTGCTTTACTCAGACAAAACAGAATTTTGTTTCCTTGCTTTTCAGAATTGCCATCTAAGCTGATCTCAATTGAAGGAAGATGAACAAACAAAAGGAAGGGAAAGGAAAATTACAGCAGGAAGCAACCCTTATTGTAAGCACAGCTTTCTTGAATGTCTTCCCATCAAGGCTCACACTGCTACGTGAACATGGAGAGTCACCAGCAGCCAGGGTATTGGCTTAAAGGCACAAACCTTTCCAAGAGACCTGCAGAAGCCAAAGCCCCTGGAAGCTCATGCAGCCAGACAGGATAACCCTGGCACTGCAAGCAGCATGAAAAGAATCCACTGAGTCAAACACAGAAGATGGCCACAAGTGGACACAGGCAGGGGCAAAACAGAAGGGAGCACAGCAACAGAAGCAAAGTAGGAACACAAAGCAACTCTAGGTTCAAAATGCAGGCCAAAGGGTTGGAGTGGGAAGCACAGGAACGGAGATGCTCAGGCTTTGGTGAACGTGGAACTGCACTGGAGAAGTTACTTTAGATAAACTTAAGTTTTCCTAAGAGCAGCTTTAACTCAACAGCCTAGGAAGGAGCAGCACCACAGAAACAGGAATATTTGATTAAGATCATACCACCTTTCTCACATATTCTTAAACCCTGTTGGAGACACACGAGTCACACCAACACAGCCAGTCACTCCAAACTGCCTGGACAAGGCGGGTTTCTTCATAAACCCGGACGTCATCTCCCAGGAAACCTTGTGCTGCAGAGTGAGTCCACCGCTGAGGTGTGCTGCCCCCCGGTGTCAGGCTGGGCCCGAGAGATTCAGCTCCCGGCAGGAGAAAGTCCAACCACATTTCGAGTTCATCCTGACCCAACGGCCATCTTTATTTGCCAACAGAAAGTTAGGAACATGGATTTTAAAAGAAATTGCCTTTTTTTTTTTTTTTTCTGCTGCTCTCTGCTGTAAGATGTCAAGCTAGTTGTTCTTTCAGAGCTGCACATCAGTTACGAACAGAAAAGCAATTTCTGCCAATTATTCTGATAATGTGTGTCTCACATCTTAGCTGAGGATGTATTTTCCACAGGTCTGAGAGGCAAGCACTGCCTGTTTCACATCAAACAATGCAGAGGGAAGAAAGCCTGCAGATGTACACAGCAGCACTGCTATTAAAAAGGCAAGGAGTGTCCATGACCAGTGAGCTGGTGAACTGATTTCTCTGGTGTGCCCAAGGTACAAGTGTCTGATATAAAGACACACCCAAGTGGCTTCCTCAACAGTTTAGGGCGACAAAGGAGAATGGTCTAATTTGAGTCACCAAGAGAATGTTATTACAACATCATGATTATTCAAGTGATTAGGCCAGATAGGTCAGGATTAGCCAGGCAAATGGTTTAGATTTCTTCTCCTCTGCCAGGACTCCAAGCCTTAAAATAGCCAGAGAATTAGTGCCAGCCACCTACCTGAGCAGCCAGTTATCATCACCTGGGCTTTCCTCTGAAATCTTCTGCCAAACCTGACCTGCAGCCAACAGCAGCAGAGGCTGTTTAATCTCATAAAACAAAAGATCATGGCTAAGTAGGTGCCACAGAACCCAAACTGGAATTTCTACAGGTCTCAGATTTGCAATAAAATCCAAATTCTAAGTTCACAGTCAAATTGCCTTTTCAAACAGGACTGGATATCTGCCATCAGCTCTATGACAAGCTAGCTGTAACAAAATTAAATCTTAATGCACAACAAAAAGCTTCACTCAGTTCTCTGAACACATACAAAACCTGCCTTCCCACTCCTGGTTCACCCACCCAGATGTTTATTGCAATATTGCAATGCGCTTTTCGCCCCCTGAAGCAGAAGACACTCTTGTTTCACGCAGGCAGTGAAACTAAAATGCAGGGACAAAGGATAACAGAACTGCCACTAGAACTCAGACTGCTCTGATTACTGATGCATCTTCTCAAAGAGCCTGGCTCACTCTGAGAACAGCTGTACCTAAGCTTGTTGTCACTGTTTGCTCCTCTCCACAGCTCAGCAAGGAGTCCCTCTAAAAGCAGCCACACCTTGCAGATCCTTGAATATTTTCTGAACCAGGAAACAACACATTTGTGGCACATAAAACCCTGGAGAATTAGCAAGTTCCTCTGCCTGGCCAGCCCCGAGGTAAAGCAGTTCATCAGCAGGTGCCACCTGGGACCTCTGCAGAGTGAAATGTCTTTTACAGCAGTGCGTGAGGAATGAACGTGACTCTGGCTGAGCCACCAGCCAACAGCTCTGTCACCCTGTGTCCTCCACAGCAGGGAACACTCAAACACAAATCTTTGGCCTGCACAGGGAAAGGAATGGGAATCTTGAATGTGAGTGACTTGAGCCATCTGTCTCTTCTCTGCATCTTCCTAATCCAAGGCCTTTCCAAGCTCTCTGCAACTGCTCCATATCCTGGCAAAGGCAGTTTCCCAGGCCTTGCTGAAAGCAGGGCTGAAAGGCACTGGCTTGCTCAGGCAGTGTGGTATTCTACCTCTGCCCTGGACAGTACAGGCAGATCTTGACTAATCACAAACAAGAGATGAAATGTCTTCCTTGGGAAAAAAAAAAAAAAAACAACTCACTTTGTATTCATCCAAAACGTGAGAACTCACATGAAACACAGACATTGGGTTAAACAGAAGAAGCACTACCAGAGTCAACAAAGTTGAAAAATGTTGTTGGTGTTTTTTTTTAATAACCTGTCACTAATTATAAATCCAAGAAACATTTACTTTCCTCAGTAAGCTCTGAATGGACAGCCTCATATTTTCTTTCCAAACAGTGAGTGCTAGAGTCAACGTACAGAATTACCTGAAGGTTCTGGCCCAACTGTAGCCATGTCACAGCACAGGCACTTGTGAGCACAAAGTCAAGAAAATCCTTAAAGGCAGAGAAGAGGTCCCCTGCTGGCTACACCAGAGGGGCAGGATTTGTGAACAACCCTTGCCTAGGAAAGACTGAAACAGCCTAGTCAGGATGAACAGAGCTAGGGCAGCAGAACCACTAGAACGTCTACCTCAACAGTTTTTAAGTTGAGGGAAAACATGGCGAGAGCCCCTAAAATTTAAGTCTATTTCTGTATCTTTGGGTTTGGTCTTTTCCTTGGCTGCTTCTCTGGCCTCTGCAAAGCATTCTTAACGCTGGCAGGGGGCAATCGGAGAGTTATTTCGTCGTCCTCTGCATCATCATCCACCTGAGCAGCTTTCCGGCGCTCGAGCACTGCTGGAGTACAGACTGGAGTAGGATCCTGAAGAGATCAGAAAAACATGATTCACTGCAAAGCCACCTGACAGAGAAAGTTGTCACTGCTCCTGTGGTATCACAAGGCATCTCAGCCCACCTCTCCTTCAGAATTTCCACGTTAAGGAAAATTGGTTTTTTAGATGTAATTTCTTCGGACAAAAGCATCACCTTCAAAAAAGTGTATGTGAAAGGCAAATGTAAATTAATTCACATTTTCTAACAAGTCATTATGCACATTTGCTTTCTAAGCTTTGTATCTCCTGACTCAAAGCACCAAGAAAGCCAAGAGGAAAAGAATCAGGGTGACAGAGGGAAGTATATTTGAGGCTGGCATACAGAAATTCCACAATCAAGCCCCCAGCAGAGCTGAAACATCCCAGTTTTGTTATCTCAGTAAGACCTCAGAACTCAGTTGACAGAATGTGTGAGTTATTCTTCACAATCAGCCATGTTCCAATTATTACAAGTAAATCCAGCAACATTCAAAATAAATAAAAAACCCAAAACCAACCCACAACAGTGATGAAACAGAAGTTCACACCTTACAATATCCCAAATCTCAGTCCTGATGACCTGAACTTCCCTTTCATCCTACTGCTGCTCTCAGCTGGCATTTGTTTCCAAAATACCAAATGCCATGCCTGAAGAGCACAGGGTAGAAGGGACAGCACAGCATGTAAATGGGGACACAGTGCACTAGACTGTGTTAACAGTTCAACTTCCTTTTTACCAAAACAGGCTGGCACTGTAACGGAGGGCAGACCAACTGCAGGATGCCAGCAAGGAGATCATTTTATGCCGGGTTAAAGCACAGGTGTAGGTGGTGTACAGGTGCCTGTCCCCAGCAGAGTGAGTGCTGAACAGCCACAGTTGACAGCAGACCCACCACTACCTGGGGTCACCATGGGATGGGCACTGCCAGTTACAAGACGCTGAGCAGAAGCCCTTGCTGCTGAACACCCACAGGAGAAAGAACTGAGATGATTCCACCACCCTCCCCTGTTCAAGAGTGTTAATACATCTCAAAGGAGCTACTGGCACAAAAATCTCTGAAGCAAATAATGTCAAGGTTTTTGAAATCACGATGAAGATGCCACCTGGAGACTTGATATATCTGCCCTGGTGTGAATGGTGGAGTGTGGTACTGGACACCACCAGGACTGGTCCGTCTTACCTGGGTGGTCAAAGAAACGTTCAGTTTTGATTTCTTGGATGTTTTAACTTTTTTCCTCTTTTTGCAAAGGGCCTGTGTAGCCTAGGAAGTAAGACAGATCAGGTGGATCACTACAAACTTCCTTGTGTGAAGTTGCAAACAGTAACTTAATAGTCCACAGGTTTCTTTGTTACAGTTAATAGGTTTACAGTAGTACATTGACTGACGCAAAGGTGACCTGGTTTGAACAAAAACATCCAAAGCAACACAAGAAAAGCTGCTCCTGCGCATTTTAAAAACACACCACATAAAACAGCATTGCTTACAACTCAAGTACTTAACCCAAGCCATCCGCAGAGGAGTGACATCCCGGTTAGCGTGGGCAGGGGCTGTGGATGGAAGCTCTGGGCTTGGGACCTGCCTTTAAACTCCACCCTGCCAAAGCCTTCCCCAGGGCTCAGACAAAGCCCCTGCTGCTCTCCAATGACCTGCACTCCAGTATTAAGCCACAGAATATCCAACTGCTTGTACCTCCCTGCGGTTCCAGCACTTTTGCCGGTTCCACACAAAACAGGTGATTTTCTTGTATTCAGCCCGGCCCTAGAAACACATTTTGCACAAAACACTCACGGAAACAGTGCCAAACTTACGAATCCTGGGAAGTCATAATCGATCCCCTTTTCGGCCAGCCTCTTCCGTAAGAGCCTCTCCTTCCGCAGCAGGCGCTTTGTCATCCTGGCCTTCTCCACCAGGGAGCGGATCCTGTTGTACCGCCGCACCGCCGGCTGGGAAGGTTTCCGGAATATTTTGTCGCAGTTTTTGAAGAGGTCCTCGTGGACCCTTTCGGGAGGTAAGAACTGACCTGCAGCACAGACACAGGGCAGGAAGTCACAGCAGAGCTCCCCAAACACACCCACACAACGCCGCTCACTCCCTGTGACAGCCCTGTCACTGGTGCAGCATCTTATTAACACAGAACGTGTACCTGGACACTCAGCCACTGGGAGAACTGAGGAAGGATGGATGGAGAGAACACTTTTCAGTTTCACCCAGAGAAATCAGAGATAACTGTTTTACAACAACACAGAGCTCATAATCCTTTACAAAGCAAGTGTTACTGTCACTGTGTCTGAGAAACTTGCTGATTTCACTGATCTTGTAATCAAAAAAGCCCCTTCTGTCTGACCTTACAGACAAAAGCTGCAACGGTCACAAATGACAAGGAGTTTCCATGTTTGCTGCCTCCACAGCAAACCCAGCCATTCCCTGAGATTTCACATTACACAATCACACCATGAGCATTATCAGCCTGGAGGAAGAAACCAGCAGCAGTGACCAAAGGGCTGCTGAGGATCTTCTTTACACATGAAGAGAAGGATGGAAAGCTTAGTCCCACAGAAAACACTTTTGGGACAAAACTTCATAAAAACCCCCTAAGGTTCTATGAACAGTCTGAAAAAAAAAAAAATCAGAAATACCTCTGAATTTCCTTTCCACATTAGAGGACTTACACTTCAGCTTATACTTACACTTGAGCAGTCTTTCAGAAAACAGGTAGTTGTTCATTGTGTCTGCAACAATCCTGGCCACGTCATCACACTCAAACTCTATAAATGCATAGCCTTTGCTGCCTCCAGTCTGTGAAGTGACGACAGAGACAAACCAGAAGCAATGCTTTGGTACCTGATGAGCACTATAAAATTATTTTATTTATCTTCTAAAGTCATAACCCTTCATCAGCTAAACACAAGTAATTTCAAATAGTTCAGCGAGATAACGACAAGCACCGTGTTTAGCCCTAAATAGGTATTGCATTATTTGGAAATTACGTGTTTTCACATGAAATAAACAGCTCACCAGCACCTACTTATTAAAAAACACAGTCCCTCATTGCTACTGTTCTGTGCTCGTTACCAAGCTTATACAGCAGCCTCATAACGTGATGGCAAATCCAGAAACGAAAAGAATAATTGCACACAAAGCAACAAGAAACCTAAAGCTGAATCGTGACGTTTGGCGTTGTACCTCGAACTAGTGCGCTCTGGCAACACCCCCCACAGGAGGGAATTTACTTACGGAAAAAGGAGCCGCAGGAGCCGCGGCTGAGGGCAACTCTGCGTCCCACGTGGGGCGCGGGCAGAGGGGGCTGTGGAAGAGACTCCGGGCGCGGCCGCCTCTGCTTCTGCCTCGGGGCGGCCGCTGGTTCAAGGAGGGAGCCCGAGGGTCACGGAGCCCGTCCAGCCCCAGGCGGCCGGGTCTGAGGGTTCCGCCGCGCCCCGGCCCCGCTAGGATGGCGGCCGCCGTTTTCACTCACCTTCTTACTCCTGGAGAGCCGGAGCCGCGTCACCGTCCCGAACTGCTCGAAGTACTCGCGGAGCTGCGGTTCGAAGAGGCCCCGCGGGAGGTGCCCCACGAACACCACGCCGGGCCTCAGCTCCTCCTGCGGGCACAGCGCGGCCGCGTCACATCGGGACGGGACGGGACCCGCCGCGCCACCCCCGCCTCGCCGTGCCACTCACCTTGGGCTCCCGCTTGTTGCGGGACCGCTGCACCTTCTGCTGGAACTCTCGCTGCAGCCGCGGCTCCAGCGCCAGCAGCGCCGGAGCCTTCACGGCCGCGGCCGGAGCCTCCGTCCCCGTGGCCGCCATGCTGCTCCCGCCGGAAAGGCGTCACTACCTCGCGCCGGCGCCGCGCGGCCTGACGCCGTCTCCCAGCAACGGGGCCCTCGCGCGGCCCCAGCCCGGCCGCTCCGGACACGGGCACGGACACCGGCACCGCCGGGAACAGCGACCCCCTCCCAGGGGACACCAGTTGTCCCCCCGGGCCGAGCAGCGCGCCCCTCCCGGCCGCTCAGGCGGCTCAGGCGGAGCGCGGGCAGCCCGTGGCGGGCGCTGGGCGGCAGGCCGGCGGGCGGGGCGGCAGCGCCATGTCGGTGAGCGCCATGTTCGCGGCGCTGCAGGGAGCGCTGGGCCAGGACCAGGACATCCGAGAGGTGCGGGGCGCGGGACGGGCCGGGCGGGCGCCGGGAGGGGCCGGGGCGGTGTCGGTGTCGCTGCTGACGGCGCGCTGTGCCCGCAGGAGATCCGGAAGGTGGTGCAGGCGCTGGAGCAGACGGCGCGGGAGATCCTGACGGTGCTGCAGGGCGTGCACCAGGGGCCCGGCTTCCAGCACAGTGAGTGCCTCTCCGCCCGCCCCGGGCCGCGGGGGGGAGGGGGGGTGTTCAAGCCAGACAAGCAGCAAAGCTGCCGTTCAGTCCTAGGGAGCACCGTTCTCTCCTTTTCTCCCCTCCCATCTCAGTGCAGAGCAGTATGTTCTTTTCCAGGTATTCACTTCCTGGGATGCTGAAGTGGCTCTTAGGTATCCCTCTAAGTGGTGTGTGCATGGATTGTTTTATTATCACTCGTTGGGCCTTTGTATCAGTGTCCTCTTCCCTCCCCTTCACCCCACACCCCATAAAGCTGCGGTCTTGAACGCTCTAGAGGTGCTCAGCATAGACTGGGAAGGGGCTGGGCTTTAATCTGATTTGTACAAGAGAGATCCTGTGCGTGCGTGCGTGTGTGTGTGTGTAAAGTCTACCTAATATTGCATAATACAAATGGAATTTGCAAAGGCTGAAAAAGCAGGAGCTGTCCTTGCTGCATGTTTGGGTGGCAGCAGGAATTGTTCTGCTGTTTTTGAGGTTTGGGTTGTGCCCAGCCTGGTTCCAGGGTCTCAGTCCAAATTTGTTTAAGATGTTTGACAGAATGTTTCAGGGCCAGCCCGTTTCCTCCAGGCCATGAGAGCAGCACTGCGGGTGTCAAATATGCTCTTTCTGCTCCCCTATTTCTCAGCTTACTGGTGAAACTACTGGAATAAACTCACATATGTGACTTAAAAGCAGTTTTTTTTCTAGTCGGCATTTCCTGAGAAGAGGCAACTATTCTGACTTTGCTGGAATCTCTTGAGAGGAATTTGGGCAGGCCACCCTCTGAAGGTGAATAGAACAAGCCTCCCCAGGTGCTGTTTTACTCACCTGCAGAGTTGACTGGTTGTTTTCAGCCTGATGTTCACCAGGACATTCCTGCTGGAGCTGGAGGCCTGGAATTCCTCTGACTTCAGAGAGGGTCCACGTTTAGCAACACCTGAGGTTTGACCTGTGCTGTCAAGTGCAAGTTCCACCTGCTTGGGAAATCTGGCAGTGCTGGAAGTGAGAACTGCTGAGTGGTTATTTAGACAAGCAGATAGTTTTATAAGCTGTGAAAACCCATGGATGTAATGTGGGTGACAACTTCAGGGCTTGTTTTCCAGCATTTAACAGCAGAGGCCAACATCTAACATCTAACTCAGTGTGTTTTCACTTGATTTTTAATTCCTGGACAGAGCTGGTCCTGGAGCTTGCAGAGTCTGAGAAGAGATTTGGAATAGTTGAAGGAAAAAAAAAAAAAAAAAGAACAAAACCAAAACCCTCAACCCAAACCAAAAACCCAAAGCCTCAGCTTATAGTTCTTGTAATATCAACAATAATGAATTCATGCTTAATAGGTTAGGAGGTAACTCAAGGTAACAGACCTGTCAGTTTGTCATCAGTTACCAGCGTGGTAAAGAAAGTTAATAAATGTTTAGATTGATAAAGGTTTACAGCAGAAGAATATAATGCAAATTAACAGAGGCATTGTTGGGGGATAAATAGCACCTGTCAGATGCCACATATTCAGATTACAGTTTTATTTGATAGTGGTTGTAGTTCTGCAGTGTGGTACCTTAAATGTCTATTTGGCTCCCTACAGCATCTTGTTGTTTGAGTCAGTACTGTGTTTTTACTAAGAAACTAGAATGATTAGGAGATTAAAAAGGGATAAACAATGACTCCTGTAACTATGAAAGAGAGGATTATTCTCACTGCAGCAGAGTTCTGGTTGTACTTTGTAACATGAAGTTGTTTTAGCCTTATGCTTATTTATTCCAAGATGTAAGGAAAACTGTAAACGCTATGCTATTAATAAACTGTGTTGAACTAGGAGAATATGAAATTATAAGTAAAATATACAAACTAATAATAAAAAGGCAAGAATACTATTAATTATTGCAAGTTCACAGGTGATAGAGTTACTAATACTGGGTGACTGCAGCTGTGTTGCTCTGAATTGCAGCTGCAGCAGGTGCAGCTCCAGCAGAAGCCGTTTTGCCAGTTGTTTCCCATCCCTTATTCCACCATATGTGGGAGAAGATTTACTTCCTCCTGCAGCCTCCTGGTTCCTTTGTTTATTCCTGCATCATCAACTGAGGGGGAGTGATGAAAACTCAGGGAAACAACAGAGAGCCAGTGAGAACAGGGAAGGGTTTCCACGAGCAATCTGTCCTCGGGGTAAGCAGTGAGCTCTGTCAATAGAAACATGGGATGGTTGAAGTTTGATGGAGGACAGTTCCCCATACCAGCCAGGGGCCTTGAAGATGACATCTTGCACAAACTTCCTTGGCTCCCTGGCCAAAATGGAGTTTGAGAACTGCTCAGAATGCTGCCTAGGGCAGTGTAAGCCTGCTGGTAGCTGATGTCAGCCAGGGGCTCCAGAGCCTGAAAGCCGCCTCTGTCTCTTTGCTCTCGAAACAGCAACATCAGGGGTGATACCTGAGGATGTACAAGGACAGTTTGAATTTGGGGTTTATGTGTCTATCTACTTTTATTTTTTTCCCATGTTATTCTCCATCTCTTTTTTTTTTAAACAGAAATTATGTTTTATCAACTGAAAGAAATTTTATAAACACACTTAAGTGACATCTACTAGGGCTTGTTTGATAAAAACCATCACAGCTTTCAGGTTTAGCTTCTATGGATCTTGTGTGATTAATCCTGGCTTCTGCATGTGCAGGAGAGCCTGCCAGGATTTGTGAGAGGGCTGCAGTTAAGAAGTTGTGGTCTGATTCCTCTGGTCGATCACTGGTGCAGCGTGGCTGTAACTCCCGCTAGCAAACGGGAGGTGGCAGTGGGTGCTGTGAAAACGAGATGGTTGCTCTGCAGAGGGTGACACACACTGGACAGGCTGAATTCACCCAGTTTCTTCAAATACATCATTAGAAAGCAGGAAATGCAGTAACCTGGAGGGATGTTGCACCTCACATAACCTAACTCTGATCAATAAGAAATAAACAGGGTAAGATTTTAATATGGAGAAAGAAAAGTTGCTTTTCCTTTGTATGAGTCAGAAGGCCCAGAGCAGATCAGCCTGGAATTGAGGAGTCTTTCTCCTTTACCTCTGTGGTTCAAGGTTTGACAAGAAATACCTCTTAGATGGATTCCAAGGGTCAGTAGCCTGTCTTGGACAACAAAGAAGCGCAAATGGCACTGTCTACAGTAGAAAACTTTGATTACAAGCCCCTGTTCCCTGCCAAGTATCCATTTCCTAAATATACTCATTCCTTTGTTGTTTCTTTTTCAGTCCCAAAGAAATGTCAGAAGGCTCGTGAGCACTTTAGTACAGTGAGGACACAGATGGAGTCTCTGAAGACCAAATTTCCTGCTGATCAGTATTACAGGTACGCAGGATCACACCAGTCACAGATATATATGGGAATTACCTGGGCATTTGCCATCACTGCTATGGAATAATGATTTAAAGGTGTATGGCTGAATGCTTCTTTCTCTTTGAAAAGTAAATCGTCATAGGCAAGTGTGAGGTTTTTGTCAGCATAGATAAAAAAATGTTTTTGCTCAGACACTGTAACTTTTCACTAAGAATATTCAGTATTAAATTATTTTTCTAGAAATTTTCTTTAAAAAGAAAAAAGAAAGCTTAAGAAATTGATTATGTCTTGGAGCTGGGCATTTGCTGCTCCCTTAATTTCAGTTAAGTTGTTTGGTTTGGGGCATTTCTGGAAGCAGAGCTCTAAATCTGTCATGAAATGGCTGTTTGGTTCTGCAGACACTAAATGAAGTTGTCACCTGTGTGTTTTGATGCTGCCAGAAGGGGACAGTGTCTGGCAAGAACATTTCAAAGAACAAGGATCTTGTCAGCTCAGATCTGCTGAGGGAAGGCAGGAGGGAAAGCCTTCTGTGGGCACCACAACCTGGAAAACTCTGGGAGCTGAGTTATGTGTGTGAGAGGGACAAGCAAATGTGAGTGTCCAGCACAGTAACCTGGGGGTGGAGTTCTGGGGTACCGAGGAGATGGTTTTCAGCTGCTGTCATTTTGATAAGCCCAGAATACTGAAAAATGCTGTGTAAAGGTAGAAAACACAATGCACACATAATGTGTGCCTGCTGCCTAATGCTCCAGTAACAGACATTACTTATTTATACCTTCACTTGTTGTTTCTTCTGCAGATTTCATGAGCATTGGAGGTTTGTGCTTCAGCGGTTGGTGTTTCTGGCAGCGTTCGTAGTCTACTTGGAGTCAGAAACATTAGTGACTCGAGAAGCTGTTGCAGAAATACTTGGGAGTAAGTTAATCTTGTAGTTAATAAGTTCTCCATCAATGTAGGCCATCCATTCAAACTGTGTAAGAGTAACACAAAGATGTGAGCTTATTTTTTTAACTTTTTGCTTTTGGTGCTTAAAAAGGGTGGAAAATATTAAATTCTTTGCCATAAAAGAATTGTGTCCTCACAGAGCAAAAGATTTGAAAAAACATAAGGAAAATACATCCTGTATATTGATGTAAATTCAGTTATTCTGTTGGATTGATCGTAACCTCTTGCACTTCCAGTTGAGGACGTACAGGATGCTGAATAAAAATGCTGAGGAGAGGCAATAATTTCATCACATGCAGGAAAATGCTGAGTTCTATTTTGTAATAATATTTCATAAATTTGATATTTCAAATTACTTTCAGTAAACAAATGCAATTTCAGCTGGCTGGGTTTTGGTCGTGCTCAGCACCACCTGATCCGTGCTCTGTTTTTGTCTCAGTTGAAGCTGATCGAGAGCGGGGCTTTCACCTGGACATTGAAGACTATCTTTCTGGTGTATTAACTCTCGCCAGTGAGCTGGTAAGGAAGATATTCATGCATGTTTTTGGATTGAAACTGACCTAAAAACCCAAACACCCAAAGTAATGTGGTTTTTAGCTTTCCCGAATTGTTCCTGGAAGTTCTGATACACAACACCTCGATCTGAACTTCTAGCAAAGATGCTTCTCTGCATGTCCCTCAGTGATACTTTTAAGTCATTTGATTGAAAATCCAGAATTATCGTCAGCAGAAAGGTAGATCTGAGTATAAATAATCTGGCTCCCTGAACAGAGGTGCTTCCTTTGGTAAAGCAGCTGATGGGGACAGTGATGTGGTTTGGGCAGGTGCTCAGCCGACATTACCCGGTGTGTCTCCTCTCACAGGCCCGGCTGGCAGTGAACAGTGTCACAGCCGGTGACTATTCCCGCCCTCTCCGCATCTCAGCCTTCATCAACGAGCTGGATTCTGGCTTCCGTCTCCTCAACCTGAAGAACGACTCCCTGAGGAAACGCTACGATGGCCTGAAATACGACGTCAAGAAGATCGAGGAAGTGGTTTATGACTTGTCGATCAGAGGACTCAATAAGGAGGCAGCAGTTGGTGCAGGTGGAGAGAAATGAAGGGTGCTCATTTTAACAGCATCATCGATTACCTCAGATGGTTGCCAATTTAGGAAGTATCTAGTGAAGCCTTCCTACAGTAGTTTAGAAGAACTGCAGCTCAAAGCTGCTCTCTATTTTCTTACAAAAAGTGTGGTACAGGTGTTAGATGTTTTGTAAAATCATGTCTAGATTAGGGCAGGAGGCTCTCTGTTTTCAGTGGAATTCCCCTGTCAAACACACGGTGCTGTTCAGTGCACAGCAGCAATAGTCAGTAACTCCCATGAGCTGATTCCCATTAGTTCTCTAGTGTAGCTTCCCTGCTCCGGCAGTGAGGTGCTGTGGCTGTGACTGCTCACACAGCTCAGTGCAGATACACAGGATGTTTTAAAAAACACAGTGTGTAAATAGCTACTTTTTTTTAAGACACTGAGTTGGGGTGTTTTTTTTGCCTTTTTGTTTCTTGAATTTTCACCTAGGTAGGTTGAACAGATTTGCATAACTGTTTATTAACCAGATCTTTTAAAATGGTTTCTGTTAATGTATTCCCCTTAATTGAGAAATTAGTGAAAATATTCCTGAGAATTCCTCCATTGGAACTGGTATCTGGCACATCTCTCTCTTTCTCTCTTTTATTTTTATCTTTCCTCCAAGATTTCAGTTACCATGGAGAGCAAGGTTTTCTCAAACACCTGTTTTCTCTATCTGAAATTTTTTTTACTGACATGAGTAAATGCTGAGTTTTAATATGATCATTTGCCTCAAGAACTTAGTGTAACCAATTTTTTTATGTTTTTTTTTTGTTTTTTTTTTTTAACTTCCAAGATTTCTGAATAGAGAAGCATCTGACTTGTAACAACCTGTAACAGGCCACAACTATACCTGTGTCCTGGGATTAAGAAAACCCCAAAACTATAGTCTTTGTAGTAAAATGTTTGTATCTTGAGAAAAGGGGAAATTACTAGTTTCAGATAGTTGCATGTAAGGTGTTTGCAAACACCAACAGCCTCTTTCACCTGTGTAAGTGGACAGACTCATGGCTCCCAGTATGCTTTTTCTCTTCTCCTGAATGAGTTTTTCCATTCTTCTACTTCTGGTGGTGCTGGAGGGTTAAGGAGAACGGCTAACTAACTTCTGTAAGAGGAGGAACACTTCCAGAGGATGAACATAAACAGTAAAGTTTATGTGGGATTTGTTAGTGTTTCAGTTTGTTAGCAAAGATTTACCACTGTTTCGGTAGGGGGGGTTATTTGTTTATTGGAAGACAATGGTTTCTTGGTTATTTTGGCCAATAAAATGTGTTCTTTGATTTTGGCCATTTGGTACCTCTGCCTGTTGTCTGATCACCTGCTGTTGTTTGCTTCCCTTCCTGGGATCCTGTTCTGATATATTGGCATTAAAGTTATACCCAGATGGTAATATCCCTCTTTCACAGCCAAAGAAAATGAGGGTGTAACTTCCTGAGTCCTATGGCAATGAGACCAGCTTTCAAAGTACTTCTTTGTTCCTGCCCTGTGCCACTGTTTGCACCTTTCTGGATTTAACTCTGTGGAGGTGGGAGGAAGGAAAGAGCCAGTTTTACTGCCAGAAACAGAGACATGGGGTGAAACAACATGCTAAGGCTCTGAGACACAGCTGTGCAGATCAAGGTCACATCACACAGGAAATGTGTGGGAGCAGGGGAATAAGAGAAAGGTTTCCTGAGCACCAGTTTGGGGTGTCTCGGGTTGGAGGACTCCTGGCATGTGGAACTGGGATGTGAAGCCACGTGGCAGGGCGGGTTTCTGGTTGCAGGGCAGGTGTTGGTTAAGGCTTTGTGATGTCCCAGGTACTCCAATTGCACTTGGTCATGCAGCAGATCTGCTTCCTGACACAAGATCCCGTGTGCCTAACGCAGCTTTTCAGTAGATCCCAGATCTGCCAGCTTTTGCATCTCTCGGTGTTTTCCGAGAGCTGGTGCAGATAGAGCAGTGCTGTGTCACAGGTGCAGGGACCATGGGAGGGGTAACTGGAAGAGCAAGTCTCTTACTTAGGGCTTAAGCAGTGCTTAAGTGTGGGATCCTTCTGTCTAGGGTTCTGTGAAGAGCAACTACCTGAGAAAGAGACACTCCTGTGTTGTGTTCCTGGAGTGTGTTAGCAAACACCTCGTGCCTTGCTGTTTTTAGGTTTTGAGAGAGCCTAGCACCTTCCTCTGGAAAAGCATCATTTGCAAGAGCCAGGCTGTACAGGGCATTCCCAAGCTGGGTCTGGAGAAGGGAAAAGAAAACCAGTAACTCCTCCTAGGCTGCAGCAGGGAAAGGCAGGATGTGCTTTTGTAGCTTCCTCTGCACAGAGGTAGCCTGTAGGATCTTGTGGCCTTGACTGTAAATCTGCACAGTACTCGGATCCTAAATGATAAGTTGTGTTTCCGTCCCAGAGCTGGGAACAGAGGGAAGAAGGAAAAACCTGGAAGGATGGGGAGGTGTCTCTTTGTTGACCCTTCCCTTTCCCAAGGGGAATGGGAGCAGGCTAGCCAGCAGGGAATGGCAGTGAGCTCAAAGGACTGCAGAGGCTTGATGGCTCATGATGAATCAGATGCACTTGAACTCTGAACAAGTAACTCCTGTTGGTACTGAATGGACTGCGCAGAGCTGGCAGCTGGAAGGGGAGTGAGTCAGAGCAGGAGCACTGGAGAGTGACTCAACAGCCAGCATGGCTGTTCCCTGAGCCACTTCAGCCTCAAGTGTGTTCCCAGGAGCACTCTCTTGGATCGTCTTTGTATTCACTCATTTGGCTTTTGTTTGCTTTTTTGGGTTTTTTTTGCATCTTTACGTCATTTCTGTGGTTTTTTTTTTATTTCAGTAAAAAGGGCACCTAAATAGTTGATTAACTGCTCCTTATTTATAGCACTGCCTGTTCAAGGCCAGGAGATCAATGGAAGTGCTGACCTGAAACAGTTTGGGGAGCAGGGGTGAGCAGAGGTGAGCAGAGCTCCGTGGCACAGGATGCAGAGCAGACCTTGGCACTGGCTGTCGATCTGGGCTCTGCCTGCTGGAATTGATTAACTGCAGCCAGGATCCAGCCACCTCTTTAAACTGGCACTTGTTAAAGGACATGTTATCACCTCCAGGCTGCCCTTTTCTGGTCCCAGCAAACATCTTTGTGCAGTGAACTGGATCAAGGAACTGTTCTTTAGTTTTCAACTGTGTTTGCTCCCAATCTGGTGCATCACACAGTCCCCCCACGTGCTGTGCCAGTGTGTGGAGGGAGGCTTTCTCCTCTCCCTGCAGTGTCAGCTTTAAGTATTCTTTGAGCTGTAACACTATGTGGTAAACTTTGATTTTTCTTGCAGTAATTTAACTGCTTTTTATTTTGTTAGGATTGCCAAGGCTTTTCTCTCTGAGTAAATAATTTGCCTTCATTTCACTGTGAGGAAAGCTATAGAGCCTCACTCAAGTTTTTCAGCCAGTAAGTTCATTACACACTAAGGCAATTAAGGAGAGCAGGGGCTCTCTGTGACTCCAGGGGTCTGTGCGTGGATGCTGACTGTTACTCACCAGCAGCCCATCTTCCCTCATTAAAGTGCTGCCTGTTGGTGGATGCTGCAGTGCAGCTTTACTGAAGAGTGTGTAGGGGCTGGTCAGAGCCTCCTCCCTCCTGAATTCATGGATTGTCGTGAAAGGAGCATTGGGTTTTGGAAGGAAGAGTCCTATCTGGTAAATGTCTCCTGTCGGTGTGTTGTGGGTCCAGAGTGAGTTAGGTAAGGTGGGTATCTCCTCTCAGGTGTCACTGCCTATTTATTGTCACTTCAAGCTGCAGCACTTCTGGCTTCTGCTGGTTAGTCGTCACTGGGGGCTTGCCCTGCCCGAGGAGAACATGGCTGTGCTAAAACCAGCCCTTTCTTGAGAGAAGGGGGAATACGCTCCTCGTCTGAATGCCTGTTCACCTGCACGTTCACACTGGTGTGCAAAGGTTTAACCTGCTTCTGTTGGGGGAAGTGTAAGAGCCTGAGCTCTGCAAGGGCGCTCTGCTGGCTCCCAGCCCCATAGGGAGAGTGGAGTGGCTGCTTCTGGGTCTGCACTGGGACCCTGTGCAGCTCTCTCGGGCTTCTGTCAAGTCTAACAACCACCATAGCCTGTTGGAGACTTCAACAGGGACTGCAGAAAGCCTTAAGGAAAGAAAAAGACCGAGATTTCAGCCCCTGTGAAATGGCCCAGGGCTGTAAAGGCCTTTTGCTCTTTCCATGGTTGGGTTATCCCAGGCATCAGTCATGGGATCTGCTCTGTGACATTCTTGTGACCTCCAGGCTTGCCATCCCATCAGCCAGCCCTCCACCCAGAGACAGGTTTGCTGTGGATCCTCCCAAGGATGTGACCGGCACTGCAAGGGAAGCTCCTGCACTAAGAGGGAAGGATTCAAAACCACTGGGGCTCCACTGCCACTGAAACAAAGGGTTCCTCTGCCTGATACTATGCAGGAAACTGTCCCAAGGTCTCTATCCAGTTTGCAGACTGGGTCTTCTCATTTGTAGCCAAGAAAATTTGTCAGGGATACAAAGCCTGCAGTAGTGGCAATCACACTGGGGCAGGATTTGAGCTGGAGAGTTGCAAATTATCATTACATTAATCTCTGCTAATGCATCTAGAGCCTAATGCCAGCTTTTCAATGTTTCTCAGCTGTGTAACTGCTCAAGCCTGGGCAGGGACTGGCGCTGCAGGATGCTTTGCCTGTGTTCTGATTCTTCCAGTGTTCTTCCACCTCTGTTGAACAGGAACTCTACGTTCCTATCATTCAACTTTTCCACCATGTTGTAGAAAGGTTTCTCTTAGTGGATCACCTTCAGCTTCCTGAGGGGGATGTCTTATTTTGGACTATACAGTGCTATTGTCAAACTTTTTCTTTTTTTTTAATAATGTTTGTACCTGTCTCCAGTTGTACTGATATTCTGCAGCAGCCTGAGATTTTGCCTGCCTGATCAGTAAGACTTTTTGCTCCATCATACTCCACTGTAGTGACAGGTCACTCAGCAATGACAGTGAGAGCTTTGAATATTTATTTGATCTCTGGGAGGAGATCTCTGCTTCCTCCTTTGCTTTTGGTTTCAGGTTTTTTCCAATTAAAAGTCAGAGAATGTCAACCTAATTCCAGCTGAATCTCACCCAGTTCCCCCACATGCATTTAGTAGGAGACACAGCTGACATCACAAAATTAGAGTTACTACAGCTGCCTCATCCGTGAACCCTGAAGGGATCTTTGACATAGCTCTCAAAGATTAAAATTATTTTCCCTTTGAGCATGTCAGGGACAAGCAGGAAAGTGCAAGATTCACCAGAAAATCCTGCTGGAGATCTGCTTTCCTGGGATTTTCACTGCATTATAAACTCACGTGCAGCGAAGGCAGCAGATTTGAGATGATCTTGGAGCTGTTTTCAGAATTTGGGATGTGCTGAGGTCATTCTCTCAGTCCCCAGTGACAGCTACATTAGGTTCCTGCTGCCAGACCAAAGCTGGTGCTCCATTTCAGATGTGTTCTTGATCACAGAGTGGAGACCCACACTGAACACCCCTTCCCCATCCACAGTTCTGTAAAGGACAACTAGAAATGTACAAGGACATCATAAAGGAGAAGATCTCTGTTCACCAACACAGAAGTCTCTGTCCTCCAAAGTATTTGCTCTTCATCTCCCAATGTTTTTTTCAGGCTTTCCCACGCAGCCTCGTGACTCATAAAGGAGCTATTCTTTCTTTCCTTGGGACCTGAGCTCACAGGAGGCTCTAAATCCAGTGTTTTGTCTTCTTGTGTGTCTGCCTTCAGAACTCAAAACTACATGAACTCTATAAATAAAGACTGCCTTTTGTTGTTTTCCTGGTAAATGACCAGTAAGGCTTATACTAAGTTCCTGTTAAAGGTCATTTCTGAGTTCTGATAAATCAAGGGAGTAACAAACTTTTTCTTTTTCCCTGTGACGTGGTATGTCCAGAAAGGTCTGTTTGTACTAGCTGGGTAAGTTCAGTGAGCAGGAGTCTTGAAAACTAATCTTAGTACTTTGTCAGTCGTGACAATGAGAAGCATAAAAATATTATGGAGTTTGGAACAAATAATTGCTTTCTTGGCTTACAGACAACCCTGTTCTCGAGTACCCTGGGTTATAATAGCATTTTGTCAGTTTGTTAATCAGAGATGGAAAAATACAGCACAACTAATCTCCGTGGCTGCCAAGTAAGATGTGTACATGTGATGCTGATAGACCTGGAACTTCCAGGAGTGGGATCATGCAGTTCAGAAAGGTGTCTAAGGATTATGGAAATCTACTGCCTTGCCAGTGTGCTGGCACTCCTCGCCCTTCCTGTGCTGCCTCACCCCACATCAGGGGCTCTCCAGGGCCACAGGGATTGTTCCATGCTCGTGTTCCTTTTCAACACCTGTAATTTAGAGGCAGCCAAGCAGCTGTGTACACACTGGATACATAAAAGGAGCACGTGTGTTGGAAGCACAACCTCTGGTTTGACAGGTTCAACAATCCCACTGTCGCTTCCCGTAGCAGGCTGTCCCAGATCAAAGGGCTTGTACTGTTCCCTGGCCACAGGTTTTTTAGGACAGGGCTACAGCACCAAGTACATGTCCTGCTTGTAACACAACACCCTGTGATTATTTATGGACCCTCTTCTGGGGACACTTTGCTTGGTTCAGAGGAAATAGGCCACGATTACTTGGAGCCTGGCAGGCAGGTGCTTCCTGTGATACCTAGAAAAACCCTGAATCTAACGAATTGAACAATCAGCCAAACACAAGCTTGATGCTAAATATCAGACTCTTTACGTATACTTATTGTTCTCTAACCTTTTTGAACAGCCAGGCTGGCTGAAGGTATCTTGATAGAAAGATATGACTGTACAAACAGTCCATGGCTGGTTTCGAGCTTGAATTGATGGGGAGAAAATCACTGTGCTGGAAAGTAATTGAAAACTTTCCAGAAAGCAGCAGCTCTTGCGTGGCTGTGAAAACCACTTGCTGTTTGAATAAATTAACCTGTTACACTTACTTGTACCTATGCCTTGCCTTGTCAAAGCTGCCCTGGAGGTAATGAAGAGAAGGTGGCTGCGCCATTGTATCCTGGCAGGGAAGACAAAGGTGCTACAAGCTGTTGCTTTTTGCGTGTGAGGTGAATGGGGCTTGAAGGCTCATAGATGCAGATCTGCCACGACAGCATAAGAGAAATTTTCCTCCAGCAGCTGCTCTGCTCAGGCATCCATCTCTGTGAAAAACGAACAGCACACTAAAGCAATGCCTCATGCTCTTCACTGGCTGTTCAGTATTTTGGGGAACACACAATTATTGTTCAGCAACTAGGAAATAGGAATATAGCTGGAGGGGGTTCCAGCTCACCTGAGGGAGCCAGGCTGCTGCTCTGACAAGCATTTTGACAGCTATTGCTCACTACAGCGCTCAGCTTTGTGCAGCCACCCTCACGTCTTGAGCACCCTCCAGATGATGCAAATCTTTCCATTTCCTCTTGGACAAAATGAAGCACTAGAACGCTGGTTGGTGCAAATGAAGAGAAAACACAGTGAGACACAGCAGGAGTGTCTGCCTCAGTGCCTGGAGCAGTGTGACAAGCCCTGGCAGCTGTGGCCAGAGGACAAAGCACTGGGCACGGTTTGAGGCCTGCTCAGGCATTGGGTCAGTGGTGACTTTACAAGACTAGGGCTACCTTTATGAGGGTGGCTTCTGTCTGCCTTCATGTGGTGCCCACTGATGCTTGTTGACCTGAAGAAATACACAATTGGGCTTGTAGGAATCCTCCTGTAAAATAAAATGCCCGTAACAAAAATACTGTGTTGGTAGTGAATAATACTGATTGGCTTTGTCTTTACCCTGCAGGCCTGAAAGAACATTTACGGGCTGTCCTCCAAGATCCATGAACCAATATTTAGGCTCCCTTTACTTAGCCTCCAGGGCTGAAATCTGGCCTTTGCTGTGTAAGTCACAGCATGACATTTTGCTGATCTTGTAATCGCAAGGCAGCGGTCAGTGGTAATGTCAGGCTGAAAAGGTTAAACCCTGTTTGCCTTTTTACCATTGTTCAGCTTCCAGTCATTTCCCTGCTGAGGAACTGAGAGAGGCTGGACCTTATGGGGGAGGGCTTTGTGCCCTCAGTTTTGGCTCTCACATCTCGTGTGCTGGGGCCTGACCTGCCCAGGCAGGACTGCAGCCAGAGCAAAAGATTTTGTGCCAGTCTGTTGTTGTCTGTGAGAATTAGAGTAGCAGGTTTGTACTGTTCTGCCAGTCTCATTAGGAGTAGCCCCTCCACAGAGTAGACGTAGGCACATTGTTCACCTGAATGCCACCCACACTAAGTGAAATATATACTCCAGAGTACAAATATTTAAAAAAAACCACCCACCTAAAGTAATCGAAACATAGTTATTAAAACCTTTTATGTTACTCTGCAGTACAATGTAAATTGTTCCTTTCAATTAAATTTTGAAATACACTAGATTACATCATTTAAATAATCGCAAACTCTGAGGTTCACTATCAGTGGTAGCAGAGCTGTATTTACATATACTTCTGAGATACTTCAGATGCAGCATTATGTTCCAGTCCCTAAGTCAGTTAAATAACAGACTTTCATTTGGGTATGCTGCTCTTCCACAGGTTCTACACATATGTGGGGTGTATGTGTCAGAGAGCAAAAACTCCTTTTGTTCATGTTTGCCTTTTTTTTTCTTTTCTTTTTTTTTTTTTTTTTTGCTGTGTGCATGCAGCTGAATTTGAGCAAATTGACACCTACTTGATGTGGATTAAAGATGAAAGACCTTTCTTTTTAAACAAGTATTTTGACTGAATATACAGAGGTGAATAATGAAATACAGTCCTTAGGAGTAGCAGTGGAAAACATATTTTTCTGCAACTTTCATCCTCTGTTGCATAATACTGCACATAATTTTGACCCTGACTTTACCTAATGCTGATGAAATACAGTCAATAGTGGAAACCTCTCTCATCAAGACTGGCTTTCAACACAATCCATGCAATGGCAAGCATCATACATCATTCTCCTGCAGTGCAATATTAACAAGTTAAACAGTATTTTCCTCCAGTGATCTGCTCCTCGAGGGGAGACCATCTCTGTATATACGAGTCACAAACTGGTTGCGAGTCCTGAGGCTGGAGACCAGCTGTGGTGCTTCCAGTGCTGTTGAGAATCTTTGGGGGCCAGACTCCTCCCTGTGTTGTCCATGGAGCACAGCAAGTTCAAGCCACTGATGGTCTCTGCACGTGACATTGGCCAAGCCAAGTCTGCCCGTGCAGGACTCAGGGCCTGGTGTGAGGAGTGCTGATCATGATGTTGGGCAGCGCGTTCCGCCGCTTCTTCCAGGAGCCCAGCTCCCTGGAGTACCGCCTGATCTGCCTGAACCAGTGGTGAGTCCGTGCCCGGTCGCTGTCCCGGAACACAAACGCCTCCCTCCTGATCTCAATGAGTTCAAAAGTGTCGTCACAGTCGGGATCAGTGGAGACAATGCAATTACTCAGCCTCAAGGGCTCCCTGAGCAAATGGAACTTCCCGTTATTTTTGTCTCTGATGAGTACCAGCACGGCATCCTTCACAGGCCCTGGCTCAGCTGATTCCAGGCTGGACTCGGACACACGTTTCATGTTCACCAGGAGGAGGACCTGCATGTTCTGGAACTTCAGGGTCTTGCTGCCTTTCTTCACCCACTGGCCATCGGGGGGCTGGGCCAGCTGCAGAGACCCCTCCATCACAAATCGCGTTTCCTCGCGCAGCCAACCAACAGTTTTGAGTGCAGTTTCTCTCATCTCAATATTAATGACTTCCCTCTTCTTCTTGCTGTCCTGGCGAAAGGATCGGAGGGTCCACGTGTTCCCCTCCTGCTTGGTTTTCATGTTGATGTGCTCCAGGTGGGACTCGATGCGGCTCTTGGCCTCCCGCAGGCTGCCGTGATCCGGGTGGTACTCGGTGGTGGCCTTGATGATTCTGCTGAGCAGCAGTGGGTACTTGGTGACTCTTTGCAGGGGAGCCATCAGGAAGGACCTCAGGTTCATCCGCCGCAGTGCGGTGTTGTCATTCTGGGAGACATTGAGGAATATTCTGCAGAGATTTAAGAAGAGAGAATGAAATGGCAGCTGTTCTGCCGGCAGATGCTGCGATCCCAAAAGCAAATGAACAACATGGTGCTGCTGGGCACTGCAGCCCCCCAGGTTTTGCAACCTCGTGAATTCTGTCTTCTCAGAGACCAACCACAATTTCTGCCCCTGTGCTCAGCTGCAGAACTGTGATGAGGTGCCTGGGACACCAGCACATGGCATCCTAACAGTCTTCCATCAAATCATAAAATAACAAGGGTGTGATCTTTCCCTGGTACCCCCGACATAGACACGAGGCAGATACATGAGCTTATATCTGATTGTATTAATTTGTAGCACCTTTCATCATTAGATTACACAGCACTCTAAACACGAATTTGGTACTGTCATCATTTTAAGCTGAGCAATGGAAAGAGAAATGTTCCAGTAAGCTGGGGCTAGGAATGGGAAACAAATTCAAACCACGTGTGCCTCACAGTGGCTTTTCCCAGTGGAAATCCAACCCGGGCTCCAGTACAGGGACTGAGAGCTGTTCTCAGCTGAGCACTATTTCATGATAGTTCAGTGTAGTGGTCAGGGGGCAGACACTGCTACCACAAAACATGGCTGGGGACCAACTGGTTGCCTCAGTGGAGATACCAAGGACTCAGTATTGTTTGGAGAATACATTACTGTCCTCATCCCAACAGAGAGCAGTGATAACTGAAGGAAGTTAGCATCAAACTTTGATCTAGTTGGGCTGACAAGGGCTTCACACTCAGCCTGATGTCTTTCTGTCCCCAAAGCCTGGATGAACATACTCAGCCACGTTCTCACCTGAGCAACTCTTTTTCCTTCTCCAGTGCATTGAGCATGTTCACAGAGGAGGACTGCTGGAGGCAGTAGGTCTGGAAGGCCGGCAGCATGTTGACAAACTCTAGGAATATTTCTCCGATGCACACGGTCATCAGGTCATCATCCCCCTGCAAGGATGCAATAGATCCCCTGCTTGGTTAGCTCAGGAGGGGCACAGCCACAGAGCCTGCATTCAGTCCTGTCAGCATGACCCTGCTGCAGGACTTGGGGAGCACCAGAGCAAAGGTGGAGCTGGGCTCACCCTTCCTGGTGGAAAGGCAGTCCCTGCAGGTCGAGGGGAAGCAGTCCATGGGGAGGGGAAGGAAAGCTGGTCTAACTGCTTGCTCTTCCACACACAAAGAGCTGTCTTTTCTCCTCCTGTGCACTCAGCCAGCTCACCAGAGCAGGGGCTCAAAGGCCGGAGTGAGTGTCCTATTTCAGAAGGGTTTACTGGGGCCCTGCAGCAGTGCATAAATTAACAGAGAGAATTTAGGAGCAATTGTGCAGGGGAGGCTTGTAACTCAGTAACACCAATGGCACCTAACAACTTCTCCAGTTGCTCCCAGCAACTGGCCTTGCTGGGAAGCAGTCTCCTTCAGTTGTGTTACTGGCTACTTCGATGACTAGAGGGAAAAATAAATACCATGGTAAATTGTCCTCTGATTTCTGGATGTGTAATAAGTTATGGGAATAGCAAGAATTTGGTGCCACATAATGCTTTAAACTCTGTCAAGGTGTATGCTCCTGACACGCTCTGCAGTCACTACTCATGTCAGCAGCAGGAGAGGGAGCAGTTCTTTGGCTGCTGGCAGCTTTTCGTTACAGTACTGAGCTCTGACTGCCAAGGCAAGATGGAGGAGCTGGGGAAACCCAGAGCTGTTTGTAAAAGCCATTGCCTCAATAAATTTTTCACAGGGAACATCAAACGGACAGTGCACATCTGTCTTCACTGTGCCAGGTTGTCCAAATTGCCAGCTTTTGAGACACGTGTCACTCAGTCTGACATGCAGGGTTTCAAAGAGGGAGAGGAGGGATGTGTCTCCTAGAGAGCAAATTATCCTGGAGAAACCGACACAGCAACAAATGGGGTTTGGTTTCTTAAAGAAAAGAGGATGTGGAGCTGTTTAAATGTCCTTTGCAGTGACTATCTGCTGCTCTAGTCTTATTTTTATTTCTCTGCCCTTTGACCACCATGCTGGTAGGGCAGGAAAGCTCCTTTTGTGAGGCAGGTGCATAGGGTGGTACACAGCCAGTACACAGAGCTGTAGAGCAGGGAGCAGCCTGCGCTGCCTGACCCTGTAGCCAGCCTAGAGCCAAGCTGCACAAAACTGCAAGCCAAGGCAAGCACAGCCAAGCCAGCATGAAGTGAGCCAGCTCAGGGCTGCAAGAGCACTGCCGGAGAGACAGACCAAGCTGAGCTCTGTGCCCACTGGTCACACTCTTACCAGCATCCAGGCTAACCAGCTTAGAGCTAACTTTGGTAATGGGACCATTAGGTCCTGTAAATGGGATAAATGAGCAGGACTACTGGTGGCCTGTGAGGCCAGTGGCATTATCACAGCAGAGAGTGAGGCCAGCAGCTATGACCTGGCACACAGCTTCTGAAATCACTAGTTTACGGTAGCTGAGGGAGCAAGGGACTAGATAGATGACCATAACCAAGGAGTCCTCCCTCCTGGTCCTCTGCTCCAGCTATGCTGCCCCACTGATACAAAACCTATTCCTACCTGCCCGGTCTGGCCCCTTCAGAGAGCACAGCATCGTACCTGGTCAAAGGCCTGATCGATCTCTTCCTGAAGTATCTCCAGGAAGTTCTCGTTGAGGTCGATGAGCTCCTGGATGTTGCTGAAGATGCCCAGGAGCTGCTCCTGGCTCAGCAGCCCGGCTGCCTGCATGGGGAGGTAGAACTCCTCTTTAATGATGCGCAGGTCCTCTCCATAGCTGGCCTCTGTGTTGACGAACTCCAGCACAGACTCCTTGCGCTCCGTCCTGCGCTTGCGGCACTTCTCGCAGAGGTCAGCCCGCCTCTGGTTGCAGTTCTGAACATCTGTCTCCACCGGCAGGTCCCTTTCTCCGCAGTCAGTGCAGGGACGGTGGGCTTCCCAGGCCTGCAAGGAGCTCAGCGTTTCAGATGCCCTGTTCCTCCACTTCCTGGCTGGCATCTGGCCAATGCCACTATCTGCCCTCTCCACATCCGCTGACTTGGTCCGGGTGCCCTCGCTGGGATCCAGGTCGTCCCGGGCATCGTTCACACCAACAATCCCACTGTCCGTGCTCAGGCTGCTGACATTGCTCCAGTGGTGTCTGGAGCGGAGGGAGCCCCGTGGGGCACGGCGGGTCTCGTCAAAGCTGCCACCATGGCCGAGGTTGGCTTTTGCTACCACTGGACCTGAGAACAGACACAAATCATTACAGGCACTGCCAGCTGCACAGAGCTCACCTGAGGATCTCTCGCCATGAGGAATCCTGGGGGGACAGGCTAGATCTGGAGAAGCAGGGCTCTGAACTGCCTCCCCTCCCTGTTTTGCTGCTGAGACTGGTTAGAGTCAGAAGCAAATAGCTCCCAGGTGAAGCCTGGAGCCTGTCACCCCTGCACTGCCCATACTTGTGAACTCATTTGGGCTGCCTCTTCCCCTGCCACCCGCCAGGCAGGGACAGAGACGCAGCAGAGTAGATCCTGATTTCTTGCATGCCTGGGTACAACCCAGAATGCTTCCCTTCCCCAGGTCATAGAGTTACTCCATATTTACAGCAGCACAGCAGGCTCAGCATCTGGCCCCTCAGCCCCTCCGAGTGTGTACCATAGTCCCGCTCCTGCCGGCGTTTCTGCGCGTGCTGCCGCGCTGCAGCCGCGATCTTCAGCTCCAGCTGCTTCCTCTTCACCGAGTCTGTTGGCATAGGGTCACTGAAGTGGGGCCGCAGCCGGCACTCCCGCTGGGCCTTCGCACCGTCCGTGCTCTCGTGGACGATGTCAGAGCTGGATCGGCGACAGCTGGGACTGGGAGTCTGCAACAAAGGCAGGAAGGGGTTTGGAGCAAGGCTGTGGTCAAAGTGGCACCTGGTCTGCAGCCACTGGACTTTAATTGACAAGGCAGAGGAAAGGCAGCTCATCAGCAGGGGGATTGTGAATGCAGCTTCACTACATGACCATTAAGGAACCTGTTCCCTCTGGTCCCTCTGTCTTGCTCAGTCCTAAGAACAAGAACCCCTTTCCCTTTGCTGTTGTGTAGCTCTGAGCACACAAGGGGGTTGGATCATGGCTGTCAAATACCCATGAAGGAGTCAACAGCACAGCCCAGGCCAGGGGCCTGTTCCCAGGAATCTGAGCTATCTTGCCTCTGCTCTGTGAACATTTTGGTGCAGCAACTGCATCCTCCATGCCTTACCTACATCAGCAGTTTGACCAAGAGGGGACTAGGAGGGAGTCTGATCTCCCAGACACTCTGGAAGCCATGAAGGCACTATTGTTGAACTCTCTGAAAGAAATGCAGTGGCATGTAGGCAGGGGCACAAAACCAACTCCCGTTTCACTAACTGTAATAAAAAAGGCACTTTTTTAGAAGTGCTTCTAACAGAGTTTAATCACTCATGGAAGTTGGTGTGATTTCAGATCGAAGGCTCCCAGCCTGCCCAGATCCTACAACCAAGGGATCCTTCAGAGCTTCTAATGAGGAAAAAGTCCTGAACACAAGAGAGGTGAATTCCTCTCCCTTACATTCCCTGCAGGTGGAGTGTCGCTGGATGTCTCATTGCTTGGCTTGTCCTCCCAGGTCTCTGTTGCCATGGACATCGCTGTGGGCTGCTGGCTGTCCTCCGGAGGTGGGAGATCAGCTTCCCTCAGATCACACTGTCCCTTGGAGGGGGATTTGGCAACAGTCTCAGCATTGCAGCTGCAAGAGAAGAAGCAGATTCTGATGAACATCATGGATACAGTTGTCCTGCTGTTCCTGACACAGATGAGACTGAGCAGCGAGCCCCAGTTCGAACAATCATCCGCAACAGTTCAGGGAAAGTGCAGGCAGGAATCATGACTGGTCCAGCATGGATGGCTGTACATGCATTTTAGAGGGGCTCTAAGCACAGCTCAGTTAAGGCAGTGCAAATTGGGTAACTGCACTCTTGCCAACATCCGTCTGGGTTATCAAGTCTTGGGTGTTCACAGGGCATTTTTGTGTCCACAAAACATGAGGTTCTCCCCAGGGACCAAAAAAACTTCTTTCTAAGTTAGGCCATATCCATATTTGCTGCTATTTAAAGAGGTGTTGTCAACACAGAAAACATATTGCTCATCTGGAAGAAAACCTGCTAAAAACCATAATACTTTGAAGGGATTAGAGGTTTAAAGGAGCTTTCCCTCTGGTTTTCATTTCTTATGATCCCAAGCCCACTGAAACCACTGGAAAGATACCCCCTGCTTTCAGTGATCTCAGGATCAGGCCTTTTGGTGCACTTAAGAGACCTGAAAAGATTGGCAGAGTCTGTTGCTCTCACTTGGCAATTTTGGGATGCCCTTATTCACGGCTGTCTGGTGCTAACATGGGCCTGGTCTGGCTGATACAGGCAGCCTGTTCCAACCCCATGTTCCCCTCTCTGCAGACACCAGCACCTCTCCAGACAGACACAGTCTGGTGCAAAACCACTGACTTGACAGAGTAGTTGACAGGCTGTCGTTTGTGATACTACTTGTGATACTTTTTTTTTAAGACTCTCTAAGACACCTTATTTCCATGCATAATGAAGCCTGCTTGGAAGAATTTTTTTTTTTTTTTTTTTTGGATTTCCTTTATTTTTATGGACTTGGATCCCTTTACAAAGAAATGCTGTGAGGACTGGATATGGATGCTTGTATATACAGGAAGCCAAAGTCTGGAACACATTTCAGGTTATGCACATATTTTATGCTTAACAAAAATCTCCTATGAGAAAAATCTGCTTCTTCTTAAAGGCTTCACTTGTGAACTTATGCTGATAGGTCATACTGCTAATGTGCAATTCCAACAGTGTCAGCTACAAGCAAACACATGAGACAGATGGGCATTCTCCTTACAGTGAGTGACAGTTGGCTCTGATAACAAACCATCAGCCAATACTGAAATCGCTGAAGAGGGAACAAACTTCCCAGGACACAAACTGTCTCTGTTGTCAGGCCAGAAAAGTTGGTTTGCATCTTTCCAGCTGATGCTTTTTCATCTTCCTCCATTTATGCTTCCAGGTCCCTGCTGACACTACCAGTTTAAAAGAGTTTAGATGTGGCTTGCACAGCAACACTAACAGTGCCAACAGCAGGCTCACGGCTTTCACTTTTTGTTGTCACCCTCCAGGTCTCTATTGCCCAGCCTGCAGAAAGGGGATACCAACATCAGCACTGTCATGAAGCAGTCTGTAGCAGGGACTGTGTCAGCCCCCTTACAGGGCTGCAGTAAGAGCAGTGCAGGAACACAGCAAGGCTCTGGTCACATCCTGAAACCAGTCTTGAAATCATATGGGTTTAAAAAATATACCTGACCTCACGTACTCCCAGCCAGATCGTTTCACCAACCTTTCACTGAGTTGGGTAAAGTATGAACAGCTCAGCTGGCCACACTTATGGGAGGGGAGGCACAGGTCAAGGAGCAAGAAGGCTCTTGAGGATGATGTGCTACTGCTAGAAAACCACCCATTCCAAAAGATGCTCCTGCTCAAACAGCTCCTGGTTGAAACACACAGAAAGAGGCACAGAGAGGCAACACAATGTGTCCAAGGTCAGTAGCAGAGCTCATAACTGAAATATTATCTTCTTGATCACACCACCTACCACCACACAGACTAGACTCTCAGAGAGATGCTGAGCTTTCATTTATCATTTTTACAGTGCTTCAAAATCATCCACTTAAATATGGGAAGTACTCCAGGATGTTACTGCTCCGTTAAGTGAAGCTGACAGCAGCTCTCTGCAGACCAGATGCCACCACTTACTGTGGTTTCCATAACCCAATAGGGATATTTTAAAAAAATCTCCAGCCATGACCTGCAGTGGGAATAAGAGCCAGTACTACCCAGAGAGCTGAGCTAAGGAAACATTACTGAAGACTGAGAAATTCAATCCACCCCAGGGCTGGTCAGTGAGAGGTAAAAAAGGCAATGATGCAAAGCCCACCTTGTGTGAAAGGAGATTTCTTCATCCCTGCTTTGAGTGCTCTACTTCTAGTTGTGATTAGAATTCTCTTGCATGACGTACTGGCCATGTGGTGTTGGGGCAAGTGCTGCTTCACTCACCAGGAGTGTGATCAGAGGGATGTGGGCAAAACAGGGAGGATACAAGCAGTTTTGTAGAACCACAGCTTCGAGTACTCCTTCAACCTTTGCCTCTGGTTAGGAGGAAGAGGAGACATTGCCAAGAAAACAGGATATTGCCTCTTTCTCCACTCCCTGGCAGAGATCTGTGCTGCCAACAGGTCTGCACCATTGCCTGCTCAAGCAGTCCCCTCTGCCCTCATGTAGAGCTGCAGAAGGTGGGACTCTGGCATATTTCCTCCTGATCAAACCATGTGCTGGGACAGGAGTTTATGCCTGGGATTGACATCAGTTTTTCTTGTTCCCCCCCAAGACAGGTGATGCACTTGGGCCAGCACAGGGAGGATATGTTCTCTTTGAATGTCTTTTTAAACCTCTGGGTCATCCTCTCTGAATCTCATGGAAGCAGAAGCACTGGGGGTGTGGTGTACAACTGGAAATGCACGTGATTTCCTTCACGGTCTCTATGGGACTCTTCATGCTTGTATCATTGTCCAGGCCAGCAGTTCTCAGCCCTTTTCACATGTTCCTGACTCCTTCTGACTCATGGAAACATTTTTATGCACACCTTCCCTGCTGTCACTTGCTTCCCTGACTTGGAGTCCTCTGCTATGGGAAGCTGGTATTCTACCCACCATCCTGGTGTCATCCCAAATACAGACCAACACTCTTTTCAGGAAGTCTTCTTTCTTAGTCATGTCTTTTGCTTCTTTGTGCAGGTTTCTATTGTCACCATATCCCCCATTTCACAGACACAACCCCCTGGTCCTTTCATACCCTTACCCAGAACAATTTGCCATTTAACCATTTCAGGAAGTGGACTATGTATTGAAATGCTTACGGGATTTCCACCTAGATCTCAACACCCCTTCCCAGCCAGGACTACAATCTAAATTAAAGGCATCCAGTGACTGACGAGGGGCCTAAAGCTGCCATAATTTCAAGACTGAAAATCAAATCTTCCCTGATGAAATATTAAGTCAATTGAATGAGTCTTAACTAATTAACTATGAATTACTAGGGAGACAGTTAAATTACAGACAGAACTGCTTTGTAAAACTGTAACACTTACACAGAACCACTAGAAAGAGAAGACAATTTTAGCTATTCTATTCTGTGACACTCCATCACAACATCTCTACCAAGGGCTTGCTGAGCTCAGTATCACTGGAAATGGGACGGAATCCTCAGCTTTCAGCTCATTTCATTTAGAAGTTAGAAAAAATGTGGCCTGGATGTCAACGATCATAGGACCCAATTTAGGTCCATTTAGGACCCATTAGGGTACCATTTAGGACCCAAAACATTCAGACAAAAAGTCTCTCACCTCTGCAGTGAGAATCAGCTTGAGTAGTGAATATTCAGGCACATTACAGTCTCAGGTGAAAATGATGGAAAAATGAAAAATTTCCATAAAAAGGAAACTCGAGTTCCTACTAACCAGTGCTTTGGCAATAACAATTACCATTAACTGATGTTATTATTACAGAAAATAAACAGGCCAGGCTGGTTCCTTCACATGAAACAACCTCTCTCATCCTGGAACCACTGTCATCCTCATTTTTAGATCAACTATCATTTTGATGTTAATAAAATCACTTCATAGATTTTAACAAATCCAACTAGGGAGACTGAACACATTCACAGAAACAAAAACCACTGTAGATATTAAAAGCAAAAAAACCCACACTGAAACCATAGAGGCCCTGGGCAGGAAGTGTTTGGAGGCCAGGAGAGTAGTGGGAAGATCATATGCACTGCACATTTCCTGTACTTTGCTATGCATTCACCTTGAGCTCCAGATAGTAGTCAAACCTTTGATGTGCATGGAGGCAGCTATTCCTACACTCTTACTCATGGCTTGTGCCAGGCTGTGTATTTCATTTCACATCCATGACAAAAATAACCCACTCAGTGAAAATGGCTGCATACCACAGCCTTCTCATCTGCTTCTTCATTGGGTTTTCATGCTCTAGAAAAAAAGCACAAGGGCTGGGCTGGACAGATGAGGGAAGAGTTTAGGGCTCTGACACCACCTGTTTCCCTTTGGAATATAAAGCTGCAGAAGTATTTCTGCTTGTCACTCTGCTTCAGCTTCACAGAAGTTCTTTCAGATGACTTTGCAGAAGTCACTATTGTCTCCTCTGAAACATGAGTCCAGTCTCAGAGCCCATGCACTCCAGAAATACCACAACAGCATACAAGGTCGATGCCCTGGCATTTCACACACTGATCTGTGGGTTGCAGAAGCAGCCAGGAACCAAGTCAAATGCAATTCCTGGCAAAGCCAGCCATGAAAGCCAAGCGCATGGAGAAAAACCACTCCACCAACACTTATTCCTCCTTTTCCCATCAGCCTTATCTCGTGACAAGACAGTGATAACTGCCCCAAATCCTCAGCTTCTAGAACTTTGCTGATTCCTATTGAGCCGCCCTGCATTGTAAGGGATCCACTTCTCTTTGGCAGGAGAGAGGTAACAGGACTGCAGTGTCCAAAACTAGGATAGAGAAAAAGCAGTCCTTGTGGACATCTTTCCCAGAGAAGGGGAAAACCACGGTTGGAGAAGATGAAGGAAGACTTTACACAAGCATTTTCTCTCTCTGCCTACACTGAGTTGGCAGGTGAGCAGTATTTGCGAGTGTTTTCACTCACTGCTGTGTGGGTCTGCAAAAGGTGGTTAAAGACTCAGAGCAGCCACCTTGCTCATTTGCTGGTTCACTACATACAGGCAGCGAGTGAAAGGACTTGTTGCTGCGTGTCACACTATCTAAATTCATGTCCTCCAGTGGTAGGACAGACTCTACATCTTTCTTCAAAGGAATCGTATTAGTACTTTGTATCCCTTGTCTGTCTTCTATTTTTAACAGATGATTTAAAAAAAAAAGACATTTCAACAATTTAATGCAGAAATAAAATGGGTGGGAATTTCTGTGTCAGAACTACCAATGGTTGCTGTCTTTACAGGATTAAGGTGCACAAAAAGGCAAAGTCTAGATGAAAATGCTTTTTGATGTTTAATCCTACGCAAAGATGTAGTTTAAGCTCAACAGCTTAAAGACATGTCCATGTGGCTATCACAGACTCTAAGATCAAAGGCTCTGCCAACAATGCATTTATGCTACAGGACTTAAATGTACATATCAGGAGAAAGACCAGATCATTAACAAGGGAACTGCTTTCAGGTGACCCCATGGAGCATGTTACCTTTTCTTAATAAGTTCCAAGGCTGAACCTATGAATTCATCCTTCATTTTTTGTAGCTTAGCTCCGTAGCTGGATAAGTCTGTGGCTTCTAACAGCAGCGATGAACAGCAAGAGGACTGGGCTTCAGAAGCTGGGGACTGCCCTGCAAGGTGGAGGACATCATTTAATTTTCTTGTCTCTCCTTTCTGCTGCTCATCACTCAAGATCTCCTGCCCAGCTCTGTGTATTGCTACTGCCTGTAAAGGTGATCGTGGAATTGGACTGGAGCAAATAGGGACTGACGATGTATCTGGGCTGGAGGTCTGGAAGGTTTTGTCCTTCACCTCAGGACTGCTCATCCTGAAACCATCCCATGTGGCTGGATATTGGGAAAAGCCAGCAGAGGTGTGGTTTTCATGGAATACATCATCATCATCATCCTCCGCTGTGACAGCAGATTCATTCACAGCTTTGGTCCCCAGAGCTTCTGAACAGACATTCTTTTCCTCCTCCAGTGTCTGGTTTGCAGGCAGACCCTTATTCAAGCAATCTGTTGTCTCACTGCTGCTGGTAGATGAATTCCCTTCCTTTCTTCTCATCTGCTTGAATTCCTCAAAGGTGGGTATGTAGAGCCTCCCTTTACAGCGACCTTTCTTGCTCTGTCCCAATGTGACTTTGTCATCTGGTTCCCCACTGTATTGTTCTAGGGTTTCTGCTGTTCTGGATTTGCCCATCTCATGGCTTTCCCCAGTGTGCTGAAGGGGCAAATTGGGGGAGCTATTCTGCCTTCGGAGCTGAAGCCTCCTCTGAGCCTCCTGCTTGATGTCGTCTGGACTGATGATGCTGTGTGCAAAGCACAGTCCCTGTCTCCCAGTGAGGCTGTGCCTGAGTGCAGTGTGTTCCACCAGCACCGTGCAGTAGTTGACAGCACAACCGTTCTTGCACTGCCGGCATACCTGGCACTCAAAGATCTCCCGGGCCATCAGGTCAGGCAGGGCCACCTGGGGACGCACTGGCTTACAGGGCTCTGCCACCTTACTGCTGTGCAGCCTCAGCTTCTCCTTCAGCTCTTTTTTGGCATCCCCACGTAGGGCTCTTTCCTCTGCAGAAGGGAAGAGCCACTGAGGCACTTTGGCAAAGGGAGGGAGGAGCACGTTGTGTGCCGATCGAGACGTCTGTTTAGCGTGGAGAGAAAGGTTTCTCAGAGAGTCCGATGTGTTCTGTACCGGGGCCACATCCACACAGCCTTCTGTCCACTGACTGGTGCCTCTATAGCGAAAGATGATCTCGTTATCCAGGCTCCGGCAGTGAGAATACAGCCCAGAGTCGGCAACTGTTGCCCAGTGAAGGTTCTCCACGCTCCGATACATCCGGTTTTCCACAGGACCGGCCAAAGGTGCCTTGCCCTTGTGGCAGTAGTCTAGAGTGTGGAAGTCCCCAGAAAAAATGTGAGTGTCTAGGTTCTTTAGTGGATGCATGCTGCTAACCGAAAAATCCTTTAAGCCATGTTGTGCACAGAGCTGATTATTTTGGCAGCTCGAGATCACCCGGCAGTGTTCCTGTCTCTCATCAACACTGATGTATGTCATAGCAAATGCACATGGAGGCTCTAAGACAGTGGCGTCTAGGGGGACAGGAGGGAGCTGGGGTGTCGCTTAGATGGCAGTCAGTGTCCACAGACCACAGACAGCACAGTGTGCTGCTGGGGACTCACTTAAGAGAGCTCTCACATGGGTGGAGTCGCCATGCGCAGAAGACCTGTGAATGGAAGGAAAGATGAGTTACTGAAGCAGCCTGGTGGTGACTCGCAGGATGCAACAGCAGGTCTGCTTCCAGGGAATGCAGAAGCCAACACCAACAGCTTGCGTAGGAACAGAGCAGCATAACTAGGAGATGAGCCACAGGGCTTGGGGCAGGGAATCTTTTTCTCCTCTAGCCAAGCCAACAGTGGCCTTACACTACCCATCTGAATTTGGAGAAGTTTATCCTACCTACCCTCAACAACTCCCTCACAATAACATGGTTCAACTCCAGTGACAAATGCTCAGAAGTGCTTGCTGCAGGCCCAGCTTACTCTCACTGCAGCACTTCAGGAGACGGCAGGTTTACAAGAGATAGTGAGGTTCTTGCCCTCAAAGGGGGTGCAGACAAGAGTGTGTGGGTTAAGGGGGAGGCTAGGAGTGTGAAAGGATCAGATAACACTGCAGTCTCCTGGAAGACCCAAGCAGCATGAAGGAAGAATAAAGGTGGTGGTTTTGTGACTAACAATCACACTGCAGCCCCTTACTGCTCTGATTCACCCTTCACAGGGAAGATGCATATGGGGTATTGACTGCATATGGTAGCCAAACATTGCCAAAGGCCTTCCCGGTGCAGAGACGAAGGTACCTCACAGACTTTCACACAGGTACCATCCTGACTCCTTAGACACAGGCCCAAATGATCACCCTCCATGAGACCCAGAAAGAGAAAGGTGTGCTTTCCAAGGCTGCTCCTATGAGCTGTGTTCAGCATTTGTAAGGACCAGGGAATCCAAGTGACTAAATCTCATGTCCAAAACAGAGAATTAAATCCCCAAACTCTAGTTTGGGCCAGCAGGATGAAAGCTAAGTATCTAAGTGATCGCTGGAAGTGGATGGAGCCCCCTTATGCTGAATGGAGAGACTCCAAATTTCTCACAAGGACTCCTAGACTTGCCAGCAGTCACACAAGGCACCAGTGTCTGCTACAGCTCAGTCCACTCCCTTCCTTGGCAAAGGCAACGAGTGAGTGCCACACATAAAGGACAGCAAGATTGGGCAGGGGATATGGGGTTAGCCTGAGATTCGTAAGGGCAAGATAGAGCTGGAATGGTGAGGCATCAGCCTTTAGTAATAAGCCAGGCAGGAACCAACTAGGCTGAACACATAGGAAGAGGTCTTGGTAAAGCAAGACAGAACCATATAAGTTACAGCCCAGACTGCTCTGTAGTGCATCTGGGTTCCCCACATGTGGCAAAGCATTCAGGCAGCACAGCCACCTTGATCGGGACAGGAATGAAGAGGTTTGTTATTCCCTGAAGGCTAAGTCACCTCAGGCATCTCACCACGTGACACACCAACAGACATCTTCCATCTGAGGGGAAGTCTGAGGTAGTATGTTGCCTGGAAGCCAATCTTGGTAACATGCTGGGAGCTCGATTCATCCCTTGCTTAGAGTGGCTCAAATTAGCATACTTTCCCCACATTAATGAAACTGTCTTTAATCTAATCCCAGAGAGGAAAGGCAGAGCTGCTCCTGTGGTTCACCGCTGAATGGAGAACATTATTTCCATCCTTCATAACTGCTAAAAATAAAAATTAAAACTAGTTCTCAAAGTGTGGCTGTTCACAGGCACTTCTCACCCGGTCTTGTCATGGTGGGGCTGGAGTTCCCCTTCTCCATGGCTCTGGAGGAGCCCACAGGTGACAGCAGAGAAATGTGAGGATCAGGATTTTCTGTGATCATAGGTTATAACACAATCTGTCAAGAAAGAGAGAATTATATGATGTGAGAGCCAGTCACTGAGTAGGTAACACGGCTCCTGGTAGTGCCAAAGGGCTCCTGTGAGAAAGTGCTGTTAATAAAAGATGCCATGGCCTGTCAGGTTGGTCTGTGATCAGGTCACAGCCATGGGACTAAAAACCACCATGTACTTTTGGTCCTGTGCCTTTCAGAGTAGGTATAAAGAGAAAACAGCTCTTGCTGTAGTGAGAGCTGAGAATAAAGCTGCCCTTGCCCAAGGCAGGGAGCTACATACAGCAAGGCCTGAAGAGAAAGCAAGGCCATGTGAGGCAGGCTCTGCATGTATGAGTGTGAGAACAAGGGGGTCAGAGAAGAAAGCACAGAGGCAGGGGCAGAAGCAGTCAGGAGAAGAGCAAGAAAGCAGAGGAACAGAAATGACAGGGGAGGATCTGTCTGTAGCTGCTTCCTTCATCAAGAGATGGGTCAGCACTGAGAAGGCAATTGACTTTTGTCCTCGTGATTCTTTTCAGGTGGACGTTCACTGCCAGGGCTCATAGTGCTGACCCCCACTGTAGCAGGCCAGCCACAGTGATGCCAGGCATGGGTTGGCAGTGGCCACTCTGCCCCTGCCTGCTCAAGTGACAGCACAGACCACACAAGGGGGGGTTGCATCCCTCTGTTAATCAGGGGGATGCCTCAAACCAACCAGCAGGTGAGGGCACCCCTCTGCCCTGCAGAAGAGCTGAGGCCCATTTCCCCAGCGGGTGTGGAAGATGGCAGTCCTCAGGAGCACTGCCAGGCAGCAGGGACCTGCTGCTGCTCTGCCAGGGCAGGATTTTCCAGAAGATGTGTGTGGGATGGTAAAAGTCACTTTCAGGGAAGGACCAGCTGGGAGAAACCTCCTGTGGGCACACTGGGGCAGGCAGAGCGAGGGACAGAGAGCAGGAGCCAGAGGCAGGTTTGCAGAGTGGAGGAGCCAGAGAAGACAGAGAACAGCCAGAGCAGGCTGTGAGACAGCAGGAGACAGAGACTTTCCAGAGGTTGCGCAGAGTTTGCTGGCACGTAGGCAAATTTACTGGATTAAGTGGAGGAAGATGGGAATTTTGTTTCCAAATAATTAATTTTAATATTTGTCACCCAACAGAGCTGACTTTTCTTTCTCTAAAATGTGATTTTTTGGTCTAAGAGAACACTTTAGGCACAGGAAGTCCCTTTGATACTTCCAGGAGATCTCAGAGCAAAGGTGCACATAGATGCAGCTGATGCACAGGTGGGTTTGCAATGGGGTCTGGTGCCTTGGCTGGGGTGAGAGGGAGCCTCAGAAATCAGCGATTTCCATTTCACCTCACGCCTGCAAAGCAGCTGTAGCGATCTCATAACAGCTATCTGGGGCAGCAGCACCCTTCTTCCTTGTCACTCCATTCTTGGAAGGACCACCTCTTTCCTAATGAACTCTTCTGAACTTGCCCGTTCCCCCACGTCACTACCCTGAGGGTTGCGCACAGCACGTCAGGTAGCTAAAGCCTAATTTCCCTGAGCACCCTGGCCAGCTGCTGCCCGAGCCATGACCTGTGAAGGGGCACTGCCTGTGCTGAGGCACAGCCTGCCTCCCGCTGCTCAGGGATGCTTGAAGCAGGAAAAAAGGTAATGGTCTCTCTAAAACACCAGATAATTTGTACCTGGCCTGTAACCAGGAAACACTGTTTCTCCCTCCTTTTCCCTGTTCTTGTGCTCCATTCCTCATGGCACACAAGCAACAGCGTCATAGTTCCAGCTCACATGCCTGCGTTTGCCATTGACACCCCCATAATATAAGGGATGTGGGATGTGTCTACACAGTCAGCTCCCAAGTAACACAGCCACAAGCATGTTCTATGCAGTCCGCTGGAGGAGAGCACCAGATGGAGACAGAAGAAAAAAATCTCAGTTAATATGCTTATGGTTGTTATCCTCAAGATCACCTTCCAGCACATACTTGAAGACCCATTGTATATGCAGACTATTTTGCCGTGGTCTTACCAACAAAGTCACCAACAAAGAAACACTGGGAATACAGCAACATGAAAGAGTTTGCCCTCCCACCACCTCAGAGCTGTAACCACAGTCTATAGCTACAGCAGGTGATGCCAGGTATGGAAACCAGCAAATGTCACAGAAGTGTGAGGGAATGGTGAGAAGTAAATGCAGATTTCTCACATGGTGACCCAGCTCTGGGTCCTAATTCACTGTCTCCTGAGAGTACACAACAGTCCTAAGGCACCCTTTGCTCTCTACCAGTTAGACCAAGCAGTGAATTGCCAGTTCTTTGTTGCTCCACAGTCTATGTGAGCACTGTGGGTTGAGGCTACACACCTTCATTTACCCAGCTGGTAAATCCTGGTCATGCTTCCCCAAAGCTCAGGCTTTATTCTAGTTCAACAATCCTCCAGGCCAAATAGCAAAACAGAGCTTAGTGTTGGCTGTTACTGTGGCACATCTTTGCTCCTCAGTCACATTGCCTGTGCAGCACTTGCCTGTTCCCTGGCTCAGGGACTGAGAAGCTCCTAGCGGTTACCAGCCTCACGCCTTAAGTGAGCATAAGACTAAAGCAACGTGTGCTCAGCTTATTTTCTACCATGTGATTCTGTTTAATCATCTTCTCCACTACTCTGATAAGTGCCTGCTTGGACACTTGCCACTAACCTCAATTTTCCTGCAAAATCCCCCCCAAGAACTTATTTCTCAAGGATTAAAGCTTGACGGAGAAATTATTCCCTCCCAAACACATCAGAACCGTTCTGCCTGGCTGACCTTCCCAGCAAAGCAGCAGATAAAGTGTCAGGAGGATGAAGTAGGCAGGCACAGGATAAGTAGCTCACTGCTGACGAAAAGCACTGTGGAGAAGACCAGTAATGTTCAAGGACTCCAGGGACATCAGGACAGGGGATCACAGAGCTTCACAAGGCCTCAGGAGAAGAGGCCACCAAATCTGGCAGGGCTGAGTAGGTTTACTGGTGCTGCTTTGCAAAGTTCACTGTGGCAAGATTTGCTCAACAGACTTACCAAAGAGGGAAATTTGTTCCATGAAATGGTGGAGAGCAGCTTGCTATTGTCTGGCCTCTCCTGCCTTGATTAGAGGCATCAAATGAGACTGGTACATTTTCCGCTTTCCATTCTTACATCATCTCAGTCACAAGCAAATTAACTTCTGATTCATAGCCATCACACCAAACTCCTGCTTCAAGGGGAAGGGAGTAACAGGAGATACCTTACTCCATCTTGAAATATGAGATCAAAATAACCTTCAGGTTTTATTCTAATTTCTCTGCATCAGGTTTTGCAAAATGCACCACTGAACAGAGGTTAGTTTATTCTGGAGTACAATCTCCCTTTTATTTCAGAGATCTAACCAGCCAGATGGATGCAAACAGCACATTTCAAAGAGCTGTACAAAGGATTTTAGCAAGCTACAATACTGCTGTGAGTTTTTTGCTATCTGATACAGCAAACCTCATGGACACAGCATGATCTGTCTACTGCCACGTCATGCACATCACTTCAGCTGCTTAGCAGAACACCAGCAGTCTCAAGGGATAGAATGCCAGATACAGTTATTTTTTTCAAGTTAAAGATTAACAAGAAAAATAAAGGTGTCTTGGCTGTATTTTCTTTTTTAGCTATTCTCCTAACCACAGCTGTGCTGTAGAAACTGGTTGATGCAGCAGGACGATAAGGTGACTGCAGTTATATTTCTTGGGGGTTTGGAGGGTTTTTTGTCTGGTATAGCAGCTGAAACAGGAACAGGGCTTATATAGTGTCTGTTAATTGCAGCAGAAGAGCTACAACCACAGTAGTTCTCTAAGCCAGTACCATTTCCTGGGTTTCTTTTCCTTCCTAGAGTAAATAGCTGAATGTAGCTTTCCTTGAGTTTACAGTATTAGCACTACTTTCATTGTCTGCTCCACAGTACAAATCAGGATTGCTAACAAGAGGAACAATTGCCATACTGATTCCAAAAACAGGTAATAAAGAGAAAACAATAACCTTTTCAGTCTGCTCACTGTATTTATTGTCCCTGAAATCTCAGAGACAGCTTGGCACAGGGAACCTCTGAAGACTCAGTGCATCCCAGGGTCAAGGGGTTGCTGAGAGCACAGGCAGTGGCATTAAATTCTGCTGTGTTAAAGCTGCTTGCCTCGTCACACGATACTGTCTCTTCTCATTCTCTTCTCAGGATTTTTTTCCTACTTCCCCAACTCTTCCTCCATTCCACTGCACTGAACACAATCTAACACAACCCATCCGTGGCTGCTGCTTGACACACATCATTCTGCAGCTTCACCAGCATTACCACTGCCTCCAGAAAAACAACTGGCCATGGCCAGTGTCAGGGCTGGCTGGTCAGAGCAGCCCAAATGTCCACATGTGCCAGCCAGATGTACCAGAGAAGAATCTGTCCGCAGTTATCTCTTGGTCACTGTAGGAACATCCTGCTATGGTACACACAGTTCCACCAGGGAGAGCGTAGGAATCACCAGAACCTCACGTGAACTTCTATTTTGGTTAGACTGGCTCCAAAACAGTGTCATGGCAGTGGGAAAGCTGTTCACAAAATTTTATGGACTCACTTAAGGCCTTAAGCGTTCTTGGCTCTCTTTCTGTGGGATTTTTAAGCTATTTGGGAGATGCGGTTTATTGACCTGAAAGGTTTCACCTGAGAAACCACAGTGCTCCACACACCTGTGCACCTGTGCAGTGCCTTTGATGATTTTTTCTGGCTGCTGTCTTAGTCTGAGCAGCTTCTCCTTCTTGTGTCACAGCATGGTTTTCTTCTTGTGTTCCTCCTTCAGAAAGGCTGTGATGACATGATGCTTCCATCCTACGTCCAAGGGCAGGCACTCCAGTGCACTGATTTCAGGCAGCATACTTTCAAGGTGACCTGTGTTCCCTCTTGATTCCTTGTTTGTATCCCCTTTTACCACTCAATCTCTTGGAAAATACTGCTCCAACAGCCCTGCTGACAATGCAGCAGTGGGACT